TAGGTCGGGGAGTCTAGAGGCAAATAGACCAGGATGGGAAGGCTCGGCAGGCAGCACCTGGTGAGGCAGGCCTCGCGGTGCTTCACGCTTACCGAAAGGAGGGGGATTCATGGCAATCAGAAAGAAAACTCAACATTCAACTGAGAAATGTAAGGTACAGGAAAGGAAAGCAAACAGGGAAAGTCACGTAGCTTCATGTTTCCTTCCTGGGCGCTTTGTCAAGGCAAAGAACGGGCGTGATGTAGTTTGGCTTGTGCACCGGGCCTCCAGACGGTGGGCTTTGCTACGGCCTTCCTTTGCGAGGAAGGGCTGGAGCCTCCCTCGATTGGGTCGGTCCCTCCTAGGCGCCCAAGCGCCTAGATGAAGGGGCTCCCCATGCCACCGCGGCCATCGGGGACACCAGGTGCATCTTTAGAGCTTAATCGATCGAACGCCACCATCGCCTTGACCTCCTTTTATGCCATTGAGATGTGCCCAAGGCTTCCGGGTGGGCGGTGTCGTCACTGATGGGGGGCCACACGGCTTGCTGTCATGCAAGCCCCTGCCTTTGGGGCCCAACCTCTGCCTCAGTGGCGTCCAGGTCCGCCTGCCGAGTCTGTAGGCGAGCCACCTTCTTCTCGAAGGCGGCTTGCGTGGCTGCGGGGACCCTGGTCTAGCAGCGTGAGCTCTGGCACCTTGTCGACGGAAACTTCACTGTCGATGTGGTAGCACATGCAAGGCGGGGCATAGCAGTCGATGCCGTCGGAGTCGTACTCTGGGCCATTCCCCGAGAGGATCTCAAGGAAGGTGCACAGCGAGGGGACGTCAGCCCCCGCGGCACCAGAGAGGATGGCGCTCTGTGGCACCTCGTGGCTGATAAGGACCTCAAGCTCTAGCTAGAAGGACACTACCGCATTCTTGATCATGAAAGGCTGGTCCAAGAGGTAGTACCAGAAGCGGTCAGGCAGTGGGACCACCTTACCGGTGCCGATCTGGTGATAGACGTTGGCCATCATGTAGAACATCTGGTGGCGGTCCGACATGGTTGGGCTTGGGCCCAGACCGCGCCGGATCTGTCGGGCCAAGACCTCGAGATCTGCTCCCAAGAGGCCCGGCAGAGGGGGCAGTGCCTGGAGCTCGCCGCTCATCAGTGCGGCCCTGTCGAGCGAACGAAGCTCGCCGTAGCAGTCGGTGAATGTAGGCTAGGCTCCCAAAGTTGAGGACCTGGCCTAGAGCGAAGGCATCGGCTATGATGAAGAACTTGCTAGGGAAACAAACACCACCATCTAGGGCGATGTTGCTTGCTCCGGCGATGAGACAGGTGGCTCCGGCCACCGTAGAGCCTAAATCGCACTTGACGCTACCCCCTACCTGGTGCGCCAGCTGTCGCAGGGTCGAAACTATGGCAAGCATTGTTATTCGAGTCGGTGTCAGAGTACATGTCTCCGGTGGCTCGGGTGGATTTAAGAACACAAGAATCACAGAGAGGACGCAATGGTTTATCCTGGTTCGGGCCGATCGATGCCCTAGTCTAGCAACTGATGATCCTTATACGCAAGAGCACCCAAAATCAGGGGGGTTACAACAGAGTGTATAGGAGGAAGAGAGAGATTTTGTAGGGGGTTAGCTCGGTGCTAATCCTAAGGTTGCCTCGCCACCGGTGGAGCCTTCCCCTTGTTGGAGAGGATGAAGACGATGGGTGCGGTGGAGGAGCTCTCGATGCCCCTCGGTGGGTTGCTTTGCTCTCGGTGTTGAGCAGGAGCGGATCGGTGAGGAATCGAATGATCTGTCTGGGATCATCCCCCCCCTAAGGTCCGATCTTATCCCTTATATATCGAGATAGATCAGGTACATGATGGTTTGGAGGGTTGAGCCTATGGTCTACATGCATCGGAGTCAGGGAGGGTCTTGCAGCGGCACTCTGTGGACCGTGGCGATGTCGTGGAGCCGAACAAGCCTTGGGCGTCGTCCGGCTGGCCTATCCTGACATGCTGAGTGTCAAGCTGTGTCGGCTTGGACTGGCCTCCCCTAGGTACGCCTTCTGGAGTCTTCTTGGTGGTGATGGAGGCCGGCTCCAGAGGCTGACGTGCGGGCCCGAAAGCTCCCGAGCCCCTGGAGGCCACGGAGGGACTTGTCTTCTTGTGTCAAGCCCCGAGCGTGACCCTGTCGGGGTACGGTTGACAGAGCCGTGCCCAAGGGGTAGCGCTGGGGACCCCGAGCCTTGGTGGCTCGGGGCATGTCTTCTTATGCCCGGGCCTTGGCTGGCATCGTAGGCCGGGTAGGAGCCAAGGACCGGGCTCGGGCTTCTCGTCGATCGGGAGCCTGAGGCTCGGGCGAGCCCCTGAGCCCCAAGCAAAGGCGGCGATGTGCTCAGGTTCATCCTGAGTGCTTGGTCCGAGGGTGTGCACGAGCGTACCTGATGGGTATAGCCCCCGAGCCCCCAGGCGATCCTGAAGGGTCGGTCGGGGGGTCTGTCGGTCAAGAACCCTTGATCCTAAGACTTAACATATCCATATGTTAGGATCTTGTCAGACTGCCTTCTATTCTATCCACGGAGTTCTAGTCCGGTTTGAATGTTTGATCCAGATCTAACTGTGGGCTTGTGTTAGACATATGTACGTGTGTATGGGCCTAGGCTTGGGCCGTGCGGCTATAGCTAGCACAGCTGGCCAGCAGTATGGCCGTGTTGCGTTGGACTCCATGTCCAGCACACTTGTAGATTAAGTTGTACACCGCATAGATATCAGAGGACGGTACCATGCAACTCAAGCAAGTGTACTGTGACAATGTACATCAACACCATAGCATGTGAAATCGATCTCCACTTTGTTCATTAACGTGTTGCTCTTGGTGATGTACGTGAAGTTTATGTTCGTTACTTATTCACAGTCCGCTCACATCTTCGTCAAGGGGCTGCCTTCTGTTGTATCCATGGAGTTTAAGTCCAGTTTGAATGTTTGATCCATCCAGGATCTAACTGCGGGCGCATGTTAGACATATGTTCGCGTGTATGGACCTAAGCATGGGTCACACAGCTATAGCACAGTTGGCCAGCCTAGTATGGTCGTGTTGCCTTGGACTCAAGTCCGATGCCACCTATAGATTAAGTTGTACACGACGAGTAATTCATCTCGTGTCCCCGAGTTCGCTCATCCCCCGCGTCGTCCCTCTCGGGGTGACACGGGCGAAACCACCACTCGGCGCCGCCAATACCTCCCCCAGCCTCCTCTTCCTCGCCGCTGCCAGAGCGCGCCACCGGAAGCTCGTGCGGGTGCAAGGATGGCAGCGGCGAGGCTTCTTCCCAAGCTATGGTCTACTGCGGCTGCTAAGCTCATCGACGGCGGCAGCCCCGGCGTGGATTAGGCGTCCTGGCGGCTGGATCCGGCACTCCCGGGGGCGGATCTGTGTGGAGCTCTGCGGCAGGAGTCATGTTGCAACAGTTGGTCGCGTGGAGAAGCGTGTGGCGGGTCAGCCAGGTGGCCGCCTGGCTAGGGCGGATCTGGTGGGCGCGCGCTACCCAGCCGTTTAGAGGCGGCTCCGGCTTCCCTTCCTCTGGATCCGGCCATCCCGCGGCTGCAGCTGCTGCCGCTCATGCGGATCCGGCCAGAGCTCGCCTGTGCGGGCGGCGATGCGGCCGATGTGGCGTGGGGCATCGGTGGAGGGCGGGGCGGTGCAACTTCAAGGCTCCCTGCTTCGTTTGTGCTGGATGTGGGCAAGCACCGGTGAAAGCCATGTCGGATCTGTCGGCAAGACGACGGTGACGCCTTCGGGTGCCGTCTTCCTCCTTGGAGGCGTTGTCATGGTGTTTTCCCACTCCGAGCAACTGCAGAGGTGCGTCGGCTGTGCCGTGGTGGCTTGGCCGACAGCGGCATGCTTGGATGAGTGCCAGTGACGTTGTGGTGGTGTGGCTGGTAGTAGCCAAGCAGGGGCGCCAGTGGCGCCATGGTGGCATGGCTGGATGAACCTGGCTGCTTCTTGAAGGCCAAGAGGCTTTGGCTCAGCGCGGCGCGAGGAAGGCATAAGGGGGCCGCGGAGGTGGTCGTACGGTGGCTGCGAGTGGGCAACGTGGCGCGGCGATGGCAGCAAAGTGGAGGCTCATGTCGATGACCGAATACGACCGAGCGGAGTTTTTTTCCATTGAGGCTCGTGTCGATGTCCCAATCCAACCAGGTGAGGAGAAGGCCAAGGTGGTGAGCTTTGTCTCTGGAAGCTTTGTGTTCGTGCACATGGTGCAGTTGAGATTCCGGTGGCGGCGAGACGAAGGTGAAGTTAATGGAGCGGCTTGGTGGTACCAAGTCACCCCCGACGGCGAAGTAAGCCCGTATCCTTGGAGAGTCCAGCAGCGGGAGTGGCGAGGCCCCCGTGCGCTTTAAGGTGGTGCCCGAGGAGTGGTGTGCGGCGGTGGATGTGGCGAGGCCCCCACGCGTTTGAGTTGCCTTGGAGGTCTAGGATCCGGTGCGGTATTTTGGTCTTTGGAGTGTAAGGTGCAACAACGGTACTTCGGCGAGGGGTCCTACATGGCGGTGGCCTCTTCGGTGTGGTACGGTGGGCTTCTCTTCTGACTTCTGCCAACGCACGGCCGTGGTTGGGAGATCGATGATCATGTGTGCGTGACCTGAAGACGACGACGGCATGGTGGGGGAGTTGTGGTATCTACACGGCTTGCAGCGGACTGCGGTGGCTAGTTCTGCATGGCAGCGACTGGTTGGCGTGGGACATCGTTGGTAACAATGGCGCTTGCGGTGAGGGCTACTTGTCGGCTCTACTCTTAGTTTGTAGGAGTGCGGCGTGGGAACTGCTTGGAGTTGAGTGCCCTTTTTTGTTGAGTTTGTTGTCGCTGTTGTATCTTTGTGCCTACTTTGGGCTCATCTTCTTTTTATTATAATTGGCAGCTCTCCTGCCTCATTCGTTTCAAAAATAAGTTGTACACGACATGGATATCAAAGGACGGTTCTATTTCCATAAGCTGTCCCAATCCATGCCTATATGTATATGTACGTGTATCATGTATACTCCTATAATTAATCTACTGCTCCATGCAATCTATGTTGCTGACAAAAACATATCAAACAAAAAGTTCAACTATTAGATATGGTTCTAAAATCTAAACCGACACTAATAGCCCTATTATCAACGTAAGTGATTCATTGGATATTTGTATTGGTTCTTGCAAAATTGGCTCATAATATTACTCTCTCCATCCCAAAATACTTGATTTTTAGGTTTTTAGGACATATTAGTAAGTGCTTAATGAAAACTACCCATGTACCCCTATTTATTGAAGGTGATCCACGCCAATTAATGAATAATCCACTAATTAAAAAGAATGGAGGCATGCAGTGCATGTCACAATCTCCTAAGTCCCAATCTAGTGTCAGCTAAAACATAGTTTTTTGGAACATTTTTTATTCTAAATCATCAAATTTTGAGGGAGTATATGTCTTAGTTCTAGGCAAACCGACACAAATAACCGTGGGTTAGATTTTTATGGTATTGGAGCTAGATGAAATTATATAAAAGAATTTTGATCTCAAATAAAATATGCAGTAAAAAGAAGGAAAGACTTACAGTTGGAGACATTCCAGCTACATCCTGAAGAAATGACATCTCAAGAAGCTCCTCAAAGTATTTTTTTCCATCTTGTTGCGCTGTGGACGATTGGCCTGCAGTGTGCTGAACAAATCCAAGTGCAATCCACTGCTGAATCAAGCTGCTCTTCTCTATATGGCTGCCTTTGGAAAAAACAGCGCAATATGCAAAACAGAGCTTGAGCTGATAAGACATGTATTGATAACTAAGCTTCAGTGATGGTAGCACTGTCTTATCTTCTGCCCAGATATCACTATCCCGTATAGCTTTCCAATCAAGATCTTTGTTCGAGCAAATGAATCCTAGAGATTTTACTGCTAGTGGTATTCCTTTGCATTTCTCAACTATGGCTCTTCCTATATTTTCCATATCTTCATCCACCGATCCATGTGGACGTGCTTTTGCTCGGAACAGCTCCCAACAGTCATTATTGGACAGAACATCTAAATTTGTTGCCGAACTTCTATTCAAATGCCTAGCAATTTTTTCATTACGTGTAGTTACTAAAATCTTGCTGCCTTTTTGGCTACCAAGCAACAGTTTGTTTATGTCTTCCAGCTTAAATTGGTCTTCTTCCCAAAGGTCATCCAGAACAAGAAGTAACCGCTTATTGTTGATAATAGCGCTCAGATTATTTAGGACAGACTGTAAATCAGAACCATCATTGTTAGAGCCACTTGGGTTATCCAGCTGGGACTGGGAGATAATAGATTTAGCAATGGAAATCAAATCAAATTTTACCGACACATAGACCCATGCTTGAACCTCAAAAAAATACTTGGTCCTATAATCGTTGTAGACCAATCGTGCAAGGGTAGTTTTACCTACTCCTCCAATACCATAAATAGGAACGATGGGTGGTTCTCCATCTGTTAAAAGCAAACTGATAATGCTTTCTTTCTCATTGATCCTCCCAACGGTTTTCTCAGATCCGAACAGGCTGGTGGTTTCCAATTTGACTTCATCATCCGTGCTAGGGCCTTGTATAAAATTGAACTTGTTCTGAAGATCTGAGATCTCGTCTATCGTTTCTCTCATTGTTTTAATTTTATGAGGCATGTTCAGCCTTTTAAAGCATGCAACTAACCCCTGTTGACAATAAATGGCATGGGTCAGAAACGAGTTCATCATAAGCTACCGCAGTTTAGCTTTGAAGTAGGCAACTCACCTTTTTAGTTTTGCGGAGGTCTTGGCCTTCGTGGGCCGTTGTCCAGGACTCGAAGAGAACCAGCATATCCTCCAAGTCATAGGCCGCAGCCTTGAGCTTCTTAAGCGTGTGACGGACGCTCATCTTGCTTGACGACTGCATCTCCGCGTCCTCGAGGAAAGATTGGATAAAGGACAGCTTGTCCTTGATGCTCTCAAAATCTTTACTGAAATTCAGCTGCAAAGCAATCTCGTTCCAGATGGCGTTGAAGGCGAGGCTACCCAGCTTGCCTAAAAACGTCTTCAGCGCGGCAGCAGCGAGCAACTCCCCGACCGCAACCATCGTTGTCAGATGGGAAAGTAACAGGCTGTTCGAAACCAGAAAACGTGTGAAGGAACGAACATGAGGCCGGAGGGAGGCGACAAGCGCCGTGTACGCTAGAACCTTACCACTGGGAGAAGAGAAGGAGAGGCGACGCGCGGTCTGACTGAGGTCTAGCCGTCCGCCGCGCCTGGAGTCAGGCGGCTGGCTGGATGTGAAAGGGCGGCGAGGGGCACACCTGCAGCTGATGCTGCAGGAGCAGGAAGCCAGCCTACTAGATGTGACGCATGGTGCGGCACGTCGACGGGGGCTCTGACCACACCTGCAGCTGCTAGATGAGCACGACGATTGGAATTTTTCAATCCCACGGAAGCAACTTCTGCGATTGTTGGTTTATACAACAAGGTCGAACATATTAGGAGGTTTTGTTTTCAGAAACGAAAACTCGTTGCTTTGCTCGCGCTTTGACAGTGCGTGCTTTTCTTTCCGCTCCTGCAACAAACAACCAGATCAACATATTTTTAGAGGTTTTGTTATCAGAAACGGGAATTCCAGTTGTAATAATTTTGACACTGCAGTTTTCTATGGAGTGCAAACCGATCGAAACGAGAATGCGAGGGGACAGAGAGATGTGATTCGCACCGTATGCTGGAGAGATCGACTGAATGTTATGATATACTGTTGTTGGAGTGCAAACCGAAGCGAAGCCTACGCAAAGCTTCGCTGGGCCGGGGTTGAAAAATGGCTGGAGCACAGAGCGGTGGAAGCACAGGCTCAGCTCAGAAGCAACGGCGGTGGAAGCCAATGCAAGAGCACGCGAGAGAAGGCAGCGGCCAGAGCGCTAGCACCGGTGACGGTGAGTGCTTGGTGACAGCAGCGACCACTACCAGCGAGATCCTGACTTGGGAGCCCGAGGGTGGAGTGCAGGTGAGAGATTGGATGCTAGATGCTGCAGTGTGAGGAAACGAAGAGCATCCAGGACTCCCTTTGTATATCCTCTGCTCAGAGAAAAAAAGTTTCGGGTTAGGAAGACTTGCATTCAAAACCTTATGTAAGTTAGCGTTTTTCAAAAACCACCTCTTCATTTAAATGATTATTTGTAGTGACGAGAATTTTTATAAAGTAATCGGAATAAAATGCGGACCATCCATGAGGGAAAATGAAACGGTGTAAAAATAGGAGATACTAATATAAAAAGTACTCGGAAGTAACAAAAAAGTGAAAATTATTGGTATGAAACTGACAATTGAAAGGCGTACAAGTTTTCAAGTGTGCACAAACTCATGGGTTCTTTTCACAATTTCTCTTTTCTTTTTATTTTTTCTTAAACTTCTTTTCTTTATTTGCATGGAGTCCCAGCAAAAGGGTATAAAATAAGCGGGTATTTGGATCCGATGACTAAAATTTAGGAGGTGTGTCGGGAGGATGTTACATGAGGTGTTCGGATACTAATAAAAAATAAATTACATAATCCGTCAGTACTCCACGAGACGAATTTTTTAAGCCTAATTAATCCGTAATTATCACATGTTTATTGTAGCACCACATTATTAAATTATGAACTAATTAGGCTTAAAAGATTCGTCTCGCAAATTAGTCGCAAACTATGCAATTAGTTTCGTAATTAGTCTATATTTAATATTCCTTGCACGTGTCCAAACATTCGATGGGACAGCGACTAAAATTTAGAAGGGGCAACCAAACACCACCTAAGCACAACTGCAAAGGCTATATTAGGGTAAGCACAATATCGACGATGTAGTATAATCTTAAGATAGGGCCATAAACAGGTAGGAGTAGTACAAAAAGAGAAAATCTCTTATTGGACACTAGAAAATTAAACGCTTTTGTTTTCCTATTTGACATCCAGACCTGAAATCTTTCCTATTTATCACATATTTTATTTTTTCTTTCCTATTTGACACTTTCGTCAACTCTGTTAGCCAGCACCGTTAACTCTCCTTGTGAGTCAATGGAAAAAGTCTAAAATGCCCTTGAGCAAAAAGACTATAGTGCTCTACCTTAAAAAATTATATAAACTTTTAGCTCTTAATGAGATCTACAACTTTTTAGTTTTAAGTTTTTTTTTCATTTGGGATCATTTGGATGCTTAAAAAATAATATTAAGTTTGAGCAACATATTAATCGCGTATGTCGTAGCCTCAGAAAAATAGTATCTTTCTTGTATAGCATCATGTAAAGATACTTTTTATATGAAAATTGTAGCTCTTGATGAGATATACAACTTTGTAGTTTTCGGTTTTCATTTGAAGTTATTAAGATGCTCAAAAATAATATAAATTTTTAGTAGCATATTAAACGCTTACCACAACTACTTGTTCCTTAGAACAAAAAGCATATTTTTCTTATACGGTGTCGGATAAATGATATTTTTTATACGAAAGTTGTATCTCTTGATGAGACATGTGACTTTCTAGTTTTAGTTTAAAAAAAACAGCAATAACCAGCAAAGGGGAACAACATGACTAGAAATAAACAATATGGGTAAAACGGTATTTTTGTCTAAGACTAAGGCCCGGTTTGGATTATATGGTCTAAAGTTTAGCCATTGAACTTTAGATTACTTTAATTCTTATTAAGGCTTCAAACAAGAGGTATAAAGTGATATCTAAAGTTTAACCAACCTCACAAAAACTTTAGACCACACATGTCAGATAAAGTCGTCAAAAGTTTTAGTCCTTAACTTTAGCCAACTAAACTTTATACTATAGGATTCAAACATGCCCTTAACACCATTGGAGCTCTAAAGTGACCGGAGTGTCAAATAGGAAAGAAAAAAAGGAATGCGTGACAACTAGGAAAGTTTGAGCGTGAAATAGGAAAGCAAAAGTTTTCCTAGTGTCTCTTAGGCCCCGTTTGGATCCTTGAAAAGTTAGAATTCAATTTATTCTAATAATTATAGTTTAGGCATAAATTAATTATGCTAATATAGTTGTATACTGAATATATTTGTATACTATTGTTAGCCATACAATGGAGGTACTTATATGTTGCATTTCTATGGTAGGCAAGCGAGTTGAAAAGTGTGTTATAAGTTACAAAGTAGAAACATAGTATGGTAATCTATAAAATCAATTTCCATATCCCAGCCTACGAATTTAAGATAGACTTATACGTGAACTTAGAAAATTCGTGGAATATCAAATTCTAAGGCAAATAGTCTAATCCATTAAGTAGATTCCAATTTTTCTAAAATGAAAGTATCCAAACTGCGAAATATTCCTTGAGATTCTAGGACGAGCTCGTTCACAAAAACGATCGAATGCGCTCATCCCAAACAAACGGCACTCAGGTCATCTTCCTCCAGGGCCTGTGGCTTGGGGCGAGTAGGGGCCGAGGCCTGTGAGCTGTGCATGGCCCTAACCGGGGCCAGTGAGCACGCGACTAAGGCTGGCAGGTGCACAGCCTGGGGGAGCGGATTTGACGGTGGTGGCCTAGGGTCGGCGAGATCACAGCCTAGGCAATGTGGATCCGTTGGTGCGGCACATGGCCTCAGAGGCTGGGCGGAGGTGGAGGCGTCGGCGGGGCTCAATTTTTTATAATTTAGCTATTTTTTTTAGAAAATTTACGTTTAGCCTTTGAGAGACGTAAACTCATCTTTGGACCCTAGGGGTCGGCGCCAGTACACATGGCGTCGAGGTAACACGTCTCGACGCCATAGATCTTGGCTCTGAGGTGTCTGGTCAAGCACCACATGACATCTTAGGTGGCGTTGACGTGGCCGGTACATCGGCGCCATAATACATGGCGCTGAGGTCGGCGCCACAGATCTTGGCGTCGACCTCGGCGCCACGCACTCTGGCGCTGAGCATTTCACACTATCAGCATGTTCGTTTGGTCGTATTCGGCTTATAAGCCATGGCTTATCAGCCAACGAACAGTATTTTCTCTCACACCAAATCAGCCAACAGTACTTTTAGTCATAGCTTATAAGCTAAATAAGCCCAAACGAATAAGACGTACGCCGTTAGGTATTTGTATTAAGTGAGCACTGAGCTGATCAGAGCTAGCATTAAGTGATGGCTATCTGTGCACTCGACTGGCCATGTGGTGGGGGGACGGAGGATGGTGGCCATGCATGGCGCTGGCGCTGGCGCTGGCGCAATAAAGGAGCGAGGGTGCAGCTGGGTGGGTGGATGGATGACTGGATGAGGGGAGGAGTAAAGAGGATTACTGCAGATGGAGATGGATGGAAAAGAAGGACACTGCTACACGTTAGTTTTGTAGAGACTTTTGGGTAGGACGGCTTACAGAGCCTCTGGAGCCGCACCTTATTTTCTACGTACTCCGTAGTGTTTATATAGCCGTGACCGCAGTGCAGTGAAGCTTCGGGGTAGGACTGTAGGAGCTGAGCGCTGAGCTGATTAGAGCTAGCATTAAGTGATGGCTATCTGTGCACTGGACTGGCCATGTGGTGGGGGACGGAGGACGGTGGCCATGCATGGCGCTGGTGCTGGCGCAATAAAGGAGCGAGGGTGCAGCTGGGTGGGTGGATGGATGACTGGATGAGGGGAGGAGTAAAGAGGGTTACTGCAGATAGAGATGGATGGATGAGGGGAGGAGTAAAGAGGGTTACTGCAGATGGAGATGGATGGAGAAGAAGGGCACTGCTGCACGCTAGCTTTTGAATTAAGGCCTTGTTTAGATGCCATCCAAATTCTAAGTTTTTCACTCTCTTTTTATCACATCAATTTTTAGCCGTTTGCATGGAGTATTAAATGTAGGTAAAAAAAAATAACTAATTACACAGTTTAGTTGGAAATCACGAGATGAATCTTTTGAGCCTAGTTGGTCCACGATTGGACAATATTTGTCAAATAAGACGAAATTAGTACTATTTATCGGGTTCACATTTTTTGCAAAGTGAACGAGGCCTAAAACCATCACGGGTTCGCCGCCATTGGCGTGTTCGGCTGTCGGCGACTCGTGCATGTGCGTGCACACATCCGTTCCCCGAAGCAATGGACGGAGGGATCGTAGGTGCCTCGCTTTCCATTCCA